TATATATATTATATATATATTTTATGTGTGTTCTATGTTTGAGAATACCGGTCTCATTATCTATGTTAACCATTACAGTTTGACAATGATAAGTATGTGTGCATGTATCCAGGATGACTTATCCAGGCTTCTATATGTATTTGTTGGTATGAGTTATATATGTATGTGTGTATATATCTATATTATATATCTATATATATCTATTCAATGATGATCATGTTAAGGTATTATGTCTACTATTGTGTGTTTCTCTCTTCTATTATGTGGTATTAGAAGCGATTTGAGTTAGACGTATTATGCATTAGTGTTTCTGTGTGATTATCATAGTCCGGCTTGTATTGATATATTTACAATTATTATTTAAACGTATATATGTCTAGTGGAATATATCAAGTAGGAGCTGGAGTGTTGCTCTGACTGCTGTAATCCATTGTATTTAAATTTTGAACAATTGTTGAACTTAGAGCTTTTATATATATCTTAAGTTGTGAAACATTGAAAATGTTTTGGTATTGGGAGTATGTTTTGGAACTTGCCTCATATGGAAGTTGAATGTAACATTATATATGTTGATATGTTGTTTACATATGTGAAATTGCCCTCTGTTAAAGGGAATGATTTTTGCACATCTTTTCGTAATTAGCCAAAAAGTCATCCCAAACATACAAGTTTTTTTTACCTACATTTTTAGCCAAATAGCTAAAAAGTTACTAAATTAGCCTGTTCCCAAACGAGGCCTTAAACACACGTATCAATTGATTATACGCACATGAACTAATTATAAGTTTGAACAAAATAACTTAGAATACGATAACAAAAGAAAAACAATGTCAATTTATTGAAATTAGTGTTATATTACATTTATTTATTGTCCTGGAATGATATATTCATATCTATGACATAATAAATCTATAAAATTATGTATTCTGCTCGTGTTCCCAATGTGTCGTGTCTTGCATTTTTTAAAAATACCACGTCGGCGTATCCGTGCCGTGTCATGTGTCCGTACTTCTTAGGACATGGTTTGTGTTGGCAAGGCTGGGTTATTGCCTTGTTGGTGATCGATTTTGAGTTTCTCTATTTATTTAGTTTACTCAGTGTGAGTTAATTAAAGCAAAATAGACTTAATGAGATTAATTATCTGAATCCTAGAGTTGGCATTGCATTTGCATTATATATATCGTATCACCACATTTGCATATCTTTAAAGTAATAATATGAGATTATTATGGTGAGCTAGTCTATTGCTCACCCCCTACCATATAGGTACTGGTGGAAGTCTTTCGGCTTGAGGGTAGAATTCCTTGCTTCGTTGTATTTTTTTGTTGTTGTTGTTGTAATCGTTGGATTGTAATGTGTTTGGGGGGGTTTGTGTGCTCTTATTTTGTTGTACTCCATTTGATGGAAATATGATCTATAATATTATGCTGCATGTATGTCATTTCATGCCATTGGGAAACTTACACTAGTGAGTTGGGTCAAGTATTTGAGTGAATTTTATTTTCAAGTAAGGAAAATAAGTAGTAAAATTGATGAACGAAGTCATTTTTTTAAAATTCAGGAATGATGTGGATTATGTTAAATATAAAATTGAATCTTCAAAGATAATAAAATGATGAAGTTTCTCAAAACTAGTGAAGATCAGTTTCGGACACCATTTATATACTTAATTCATGATTTTAGTACTTTCAATCGAGTTATGTAAATGGGTCGTTTTGTGAGACAAATTGGATTTTTTTTTTGTCTAATTAGGAAATGAATACATTTTGGCACTAATGATGGACATTGGACCTTTTTTTTGATAAAACAATTACGCTAAGGTTTAATTAGTTTCCATCAAATTAGCTTCTCAAAATCTGAGGCGTGGCAGTTTTCTTTAAAAGTGGGTTTTGATTTGATATTACATTTTTATCCCTTTATGGTAAAGAAAACAAATGTAAGAATGAGTCATCTTGGCATGAGTCATTAGGTTTTCATATATGATAGTATTCTGTATATACATTATATTATATGTTATATATATAATTATCATTTTATTTTATTTTATTTTTTCTTAATTAACTGTCTCTCTCATCTCCTGTATCATATTTCAATTTTCTGCTATATCTTGTATATTTGTGCAGGGGTTTGATGTTGAAGCTTTCCACCCTTGTTCCTATTGTGTTATACGACCTTTGAAATTAAACAAGAGACTTCGTAAGAAGCTTGAACGCTATTCAAAGAGGGCAATTGCCGAATTTAACTTGAAAAATGTATGTGGAGTTGTGTTTGTGTTTTTTTAATTGTTATCACTCGTATTTAATCCTATTGAACTTTTCTTCTTAAATTGCAGAGTACAAATTTCCAGTTTGTGAAGGTCCACAAGGCAAATGCACGGGTGGTCAGTGGCCTGGTGTATTATATTACGTTTGTTGCCAAGGATCCTGCTGCTACTGAATTTGAGATCTTCCAAGTTTCTTTGCATGCTCCTATCGGTGCAGACATAAAGATCCACCTTTGTCAGATTAAACCAAAGGCTTAGGCCCCGTTTGAGGACTTACTTTTTTAGCCAATTAGCCAAAAAGTTACTAAATTAGCCAAAAACCAACAACTCATACCAAAAAGTCAAAGATTCTCTTTTCTCTCTACTTTTTTGCACATCTTTTCGTAATTAGCCAAAAAGTCATCCCAAACATACAAGTTTTTTTTACCTACCTTTTTAGCCAAATAGCCAAAAAGTTACTAAATTAGCCTGTTCCCAAACGAGGCCTTAGAGGTTTGATAATTTGTTTCTTCATTGCCTTGTAGTTTTAACGCTTAGTTATAGATTGTTATCGGATAGTTCTGTATTGTTGTTTTGCACTACTATTCATTTTTGTTCTAAGAATGTCTTTGATCTTTGGAATTGCATGATGTGGTTTATTTGGTTGGATAGAGATTCAAGATTTTCGATGATAAATATGAACTTTAGGAGTTGTATGGGATAAGATTTGTTGTTTATCTTCTTTTTTCTTTTTCTTTTTGATAATATTGTGCTCGTAAGATATTTCAACTCTCGAAGAAATCATAAGAACTTTATATCATTGGTCATCTAGGAAGTTTTTTTTTCTTATATATATTTGTTGTGTTTGATGGTACTTGCATGTAACACTATGGTGGTTGTTTGTTTGGTTGAGTAGTTGAGCTTTCTTTGTTCGTCATGTAAGTTTTGATTTGTTTAAGTTCTTTTGCTATACATATATGTAGTGCAATAGTAATGGAAATTCCAATGTTTGAGTTACATCTAATTCTGTGCGGATGAATCTTTTTTTGGGACATGAATGTGTTAGCTTATTTGAATTTGAAGGTTCATTGGATGTTGAGTTTTAGAGAATAGAGAGAACTGGGTGGGGCAGATGTGTTAAGTTAGGGTTGCGGCCAAGATGACAGTAAGTTCTGCAATGATAGTAATTATCAATGTTGATGGTTGTGAAGTTAATAAAAAAAATAGACTTAATGCTAGGGGTGTAAAATGGCGTGCCGGCCTGAAGCCTGTCCAAGGTCGAACCCAGCCTGAACCCCGGGCATATGACTGGCCTGTGTGTTTTTCTGACCCAGCCCGCTCAAGGAGATTTTGCACGAGTGGGCTGTTCTGAGCCGTTTTTACACCCCTACTTATTGCAAAGATGAATCTGGAGATGATATTGGGAAGGTGATTGGAAAAGAGTTGCTTAATTTTTATATTTGATGTTGGTGTTTAAAGCTGCTGGTATGCAGCCATTGAGATGGGCATTGTTTGGGGTTCTGATCGGTGTTTTGGTTGACTGACACATGATAGGATATATTTAATATGTTTGTTTTTTAATTGTAATGGTAATGGTCTGGAGAAGGTGCCATTGAGGGTTTTATGTATAATAATATGAGATTATGCATATTTCTATGGTAAACTCAAATTACTAAATAGTTTTCTAGGTGAATGTCCGACTAAACATGTCTGACTCATATCCCATACTCTTACCGACCGAAGTGTCGAGTGTCTGGTACGAATACATTATGCATTACAGAGTCCTTGTAAGTAACATAGATCGACTTCATATTATACAATAGATAACACTATGCTTTTGGGATTTTTTTATGCATTAAAATTTGACATCAAATGTGTAGCTAACAAACTAAAGGACTTGAGGAGGAACTAACACCATAGTAACGCCAAGGGGTTGGAAGAAAGAGTGGATTGGTGAGAACTTACAGCAAGTGAGTGATATAGGGACAATTTAGTATCAGTAAGAGTTTCAAAGAAGTAAAATAGTAGCTTTGTGTATGAGAATTTTACTGTTTGGGTTCTACCACTGTTTATATGCAAGGCGACTTTGCAGTCTGGGGCAGTTGCCTGTGCACGAGACAGTTGCCTAACACTATTTTCTCCTTAGCGTAGAAGCCTAGAATTCCCACACATCATTGACTTGGCTATATCATAAGAAGCCCAAATTGTAGGCGCTATCTTTTTCTCTAGTGGAATAAAGGTGATCATAATTACATTAGTGTGAGCATACTAGTAGAGCATTTAGCGAAGTCTCTAGTTCTAGCCACCAATCCATGTAGCTCTATATATTTTGAGTAGGTTAAGCTACCTTGGAAGGACAGTAGTTTGGATTTTATTCAACGCGCTTATAGCCCATCGGATCATGAGCCCATTTACATCTCATTGGAATGTACCCAACGCCGAAGTCAGTCTTTTCTTATCACTCAATACTATTACATGTGAGGGTTCTCGAGTGTACCTGCTTGAGGCTATGGCCACCATTTGGAAGAGGTAATACCACGTCATCTGTCCATTATTTCATGTCATGTGATCGCTTTTCCATTTGTACGCGTGTTTTAGATATTTTAGTGGTGATCCACAGAATGAAACTAGATCTGTACCTTTTTTTGTTTGCTTAGGAGGATGAATGGGGCAGAACATTGTGACTCTGCAATTCTTTCATTTAGCCCTGCTGCCTGCACAATATTTTAGCAAAATGATATTGTAAATATGACCTGGGGACAAGTTTTTTTAGTTTGAAAGGAGTTGGCATGATATGTCAAAAGAAAGGTGAGTGATTGCTTCATGTGGTTAACAACTTCTAGATATGAGCAGGTTACATAATGTAGAAGACCTATCAGAAAAATTCCTCAAGAGTAGTTTTCCAGAAATTGTTCAACAAACAAGCTTTTTTTGTTTTCGGAAAATATACCCTTAGGGTTTTCATGGTAGGTAAGGGGACCGATTAGATGTTATCGCTTATGATGAACCACATACGGAGCATGGATGAAAGGGACAAATGATTCAATCAGCTTTCTATTGAAGAGGGGTAAATTTTGATTAGGAGGCGCTCAACAATCCTCCGAATATCAGTTATCTTGTATTTGTCCATAAGTAAAAATAGTCCCAAGAGTAATAGACTGGCGATTGAATTTTTGAATGGCAACTATTTTGCACAATGACTTTATTTTTGGATTCTCTGTGTACTCACCTTCGCGGGCAGTTTAGTCTTCTACACTTCTTGGGCAATGTGGTAAACTATATTGTAGGTTTTCAATAGGGTTCCATATCGTTATTCTTTTGGATCCATATAGTTATTTTTTTGGATCCATATAGGGTTCCATGTTTTTTTAGGGGATCGCTATAATATATTTTATGAGTTGGGTTTGGTTACTAGTTTCACTAGTTTAAGGCTTTAATTGATATTTTCATGCTTTATGTTAATTATATGAGCTATTTGGAATATTTGATGACTTTTGAGATATGAAGGGAAAAAATGGTAGTTTTGGTCATTGGACAAAGAGAGAATTTTATAAATATTTCATATTATAGCTACAAGGGTATTTTGGCAAAATGGTTAGAAAGAGAAAAATTGTGAAATTTGTCTAAGTGATAAGGTGGGAAGGTAACTAAGTGTTGGATTATCTAGATTTATTGATTTCGTTGCTTAGTTGATTTTTGGGCATGTCCCGGCATTGTTTATTTTATGGGCTTGGCCCAAGTTATAGGCGTATAGCCAATATTGTGGTTCAGTAAGCTTGACGGAGATAGATAGTAGTACCCCTACTTGCGTGTTAGACTAATGGACAATGTGCAGTTTAGAGGAAAAGTACCCTCTTGTGGTATGAAAATGAAGTTTCTTTTTAACACGCAGCTAGGAGTGAGCCCGGGGAGTGTTTAGGGTAACACCTAGTATGCGTTATATTATGGCTTGGACACAGTCTAAGAAGCACAGACACTAATAAAAATGTGGTGTGTCCATGTCGGATACGGATACTCGTTGAACATTTTCTGACACTCTTCCAAACGTGGCTTAATTTTTTTTAAAAATTTAGATTTGGACACTCTTCGAACACTTGGAGGACACACGTGTCCATTACTTAAACACACGTATCAATTGATTATACGCACATGAAACTAATTATAAGTTTGAACAAAATAACTTAGAATACGATAACAAAAGAAAAACAATGTCAATTTATTGAAATTAGTGTTATATTACATTTATTTATTGTCCTGGAATGATATATTCATATCTATGACATAATAAATCTATAAAATTATGTATTCTGCTCGTGTTCCCAATGTGTCGTGTCTTGCATTTTTTAAAAATACCACGTCGGCGTGTCCGTGTCATGTCAGGTGTCCGTGCTTCTTAGGACACGGTTTGTGTTGGCAAGGTTGGGTTATTGCCTTGTTGGCAGGTAATTGACACCTTGTTGGCGATCGATTTTGAGTTTCTCTATTTATTTAGTTTACTCAGTGTGAGTTAATTAAAGCGAAATAGACTTAACGAGATTAATTATCTGAATCCGAGAGTTGGCATTGCATTTGCATTATATGCATTGTATCACCGCACTTGCATATCTTTAAAGTAATAATATGAGATTATTATGGTGAGCTAGTCTGTTGCTCACCCCCTACCATATAGGTGGTACTGGTGGAAGTCCTCGGGCTTGAGGGTAGAATTGCTTGCTTTGTTGTATTTTTTATTTTTTATTTTATTTTTGTAATGGTTGGATCGTAGTGTTTGGGGGGTCTGTGTGCTCTTATTTTGTTGTACTCCATTTGATGGAAATATGATCTATAATATTATGCTGCATGTATGTCATTTCATGCCATTGGGAAACTTACACTAGTGAGTTGGGTCAAGTATTTGAGTGAATTTTATTTTCAAGTAAGGAAAATAAGTAGTAAAATTGATGAACGAAGTCATTTTTTTAAAATTCAGGAATGATGTGGATTATGTTAAATATAAAATTGAATCTTCAAAGATAATAAAATGATGAAGTTTCTCAAAACTAGTGAAGATCAGTTTCGGACACCATTTATATACTTAATTCATGATTTTAGTACTTTCAATCGAGTTATGTAAATGGGTCGTTTTGTGAGACAAATTGGATTTTTTTTTTGTCTAATTAGGAAATGAATACATTTTGGCACTAATGATGGACATTGGACCTTTTTTTTGATAAAACAAGTGCACTAAGGTATTAGTTTCCGCCTAAATAACTTCTCAAAATCTGTCTTTAAAAGTGGGTTTTGATTTGATATTA